ATCTGCTCCTAGGACGTCCTATGCGTTCCGAGGCTTCCACAGGTGCTGGCACTGATGGTCGACGGGCAGTCCGTCGCGGCTGCGCTTCTACAAGTTGGGAAACGACACGTAGCTTGCCGAACTACTTCACTCTGCATGCTGGTGTAGGGCTGCATCTTGAGCTGCGGCACCATGCAAAAGGCCCGGACTGGGTAAAAAGGTTGGAATGGGGAAAGCCTGCTGCTATGCCAAGGAAGCCCGCAACGCGGCCAATGTACATCGCATCAGCGCTTTCAAGTGAGTGTCTGAGGTTTGACATTCATCCGAGGCGGCAGTCTGCTCGGCAAGCTCTCACGAGATTCTCACGGGCTCTGGAGTGCGGAGATGAGTCGAAAGGCCCGCGGGAGTGCTGAAGCTCGCACAGGATGTCACAGGACAGCTACGCAGGCTACAGAAAAACTGCCTTCCCGAAAAGCACTGAATTATCAATTTACTATGATCCGAGGGCGGACCGCTTGATTTTCAGTAGTTCCCGGACAACCAAGTCACCGCACCTACACGCTGCATCGAAGCAGGCTTAAGCACAAGCACTGCAAGCTTTCCGAAAGGCTTTTCAGCCTGCAGGCCGGCTACATCTTCAATGCACATCTCCACAAGGTCAGCGAGGCACAGCAGGAAGCGATCTGCTGGAGCCACAGCAGCACTGGTGGATCGCACCTTTTTCACTTTGGAAGACACTAGAGTCACTAGACTAAGCACAAGAATTGTCATCTTACTGTCAGAAAGACAAGGATGTCTTCCGCCGGGTCCACCACGGACTGATACGGTAGGACATAGGATGGCTAGCAAGATCTTGACACTGATCCTGATGTTCAGAATCGGAAACAGCTCGTACACATTCGATTGAGTGAATTGGTTGAGTGAGGCATTCATCACCCAGCGAAACGATCAAGTGAGAATCAGTCACGTGTGAGTGCTGGCGCTGCTGCCGGGAAGTACGGCTCCTAGCACTTCTTGGCTGGAGATGGGTCCACGGGGTCGCCAGATTCTGTTCAAGCCGGTGGCTTCATTATGTCCCATTACCCGACCGAAAAGACCCAAGCAAACAAGACGGAATGGATCGAAACTCTGCCGCCATGAAGCGGAGCAGGAGCACTGCAAGATCATCGCGGCCAGGGAAGGTTGGAGGTCTTCGCATGGATCCGGTTCGCCTTGGAACTTCAACGGGGCGGTCAACTCATTCAGGTCCAAAGCTTCTACACTTGCAGAAGAGAGGTCGTAAAGTTTCGCTCATACCATGGCAATCCTTGTGTTTGGTTATTGGCGGAATCCCTCAAAGCCCCGTTTTGGCCTGACTCCGTCGTAGGAGTGTACATCGATGGCATCTGCGTCGGAGTTTCCGGCCTCGTGCACGGCGTTGCAGAAGGCTCCATGTTCTGACGAAAACACGTTGGACGTGGTGAGCCCCTCCTAAGATGACTTTCAAGTTTCAAGTGTGTAAGATCACGAGGAAGATGACGACGATGACGACGACTGCCGCCACGACCACCACCACCACCACCACCACCACCACCACCATCACAACCACCGTGACGATGAGGGCGACAAAGACACTCAAAAACGCAACCACGACGGCACAAAGAGCAGAGGCAGCAGCGACAGCACCAAGAAGATTGAACACACCCCGGGCCTTTTCGCTCTGCTGCCAGCGGCCGAAGATGGGGAGGACCGGACTCTGGTCTCACTTTGCCCCAAAGCTAGGCCTGCGCTTGCTGCCCTAAGCTTGCTGCAGTTGAAGTTGCTACTGTCTGCTACAGTAATACCGGTTACCGACCATGGCAATGAATGGATCTTTGTTGCGACTGCTGGCCGGACACAGGTTACGTCAGTCGGCGGCCTGAAAACATCTGTGTGAAGAGCTGCAGCACGGAGGCTGCAAGCAGCATGGGAGCTCCGATCCTTGGATGCGGGAAAAGGATCTTCCGGTACCCCCGAGCCCTCTCCACTCAAGCATACTCAAGCCATCGTGACGGCTTTTTTGCCTCTCGCAATTTTAAGAATGCAGCATTCACCTTTGGAGATGCACGCCTGCGGAGGAAGTTCTTCAAATCGCATGTACTTGCATAGGCTCTGCATCTAGATCCAGCTCAAACCTGCTGGCTGGGTCGGCAGCTGCCTGCAAGCATTCAGGCTCAGCCTCAATTTTTTAAAATGACGGTCGCTTCATACTCCGGAGCATTGGGTTCAGTGGTGGGCTCGTCGATGACCACCTTAGTCTCGCTGCTGTCAATCTTCGCGGGGTCGTGCACGGCCTTGTTCTGCTCCTCCTGGCGATTCTTGTAGATGAGGTACCACAGAAAGACAGACAAGCCCATGATGACGAAGATGCAGGCAATCAAGCCGACGTACCACATGATGCTGGAACCGCCTGTGGAGAGGTCCTCTGGCTCCGGGGCCTTACGGATGTCAAGCTTGGTGGGAATCTCTTCCGCACGGCTCACGGACAAAGTCATCGACCGTAGCTCGCCGATGCGGAGCACCGCACCAGTGCTTGCCAGCATCGTGTTCATGACATCTTGCACCTCCTGCGACGTGACGGAAGCCAACTTTACTTGCACAAAGTTTGTGAAGTCGTCTGCCTCCTCCGGGGTCGGGAACGCACGGGAAGCAGCATAGTAGACTCTCACCACTTCATCCATGGTCTCGGCGTCAGTTGCGTAGGTCAGGTTGATGTCAACGGCACCACTGCTGACGTTCAAGATGGAAGCCACAGCCAGAACGATTCCTTCTTCAACTTCGGAAGCATTGACGAACTCGCTATGCAGACTTGAGGCATTCTCGCGCAAACGCCTGCGTTCTTCACGCATCGGCATGATTTCGAAGTAGCCGCTTATCAAGACGGTGCCATTCCAGAAGGTGGTTGTCGTGGCGGTGTACGTGGTCGAGGAGGTACTGGTAGCTGTGACCGTGGCCGTGAGGGCGGCGCGGGTAGTGGTAGCAGTGCTTGTGATCTCCAAACAGCTCGGAAAGCTTCCGCTGAAGGAGCGGTCCGGAAGACACGTCCAGGTTTGTACCTCTTTTCCCTCGAAGCCCTCGGCACAAGTCACGTTGCACGTGGCGTCTGTCCTGACGTTCTCGCAGTTGTGCTCATACTCAAGACCATCCGGCATCTTGTAGATGCATGTAACAGGCATGCAGACAGGCACGACACCTCGCAAGGTGTAGCCATCCACCACAGCTACGTTGCCGACTGCGCTAAGGCCATTCTCCGGATGAGTGCATGTCCACTGCTCTGAAGCCTTCGACTGCATTTCGTAGCCCTCACTGCAGAAGGCGAAGCAGGAACCGTCGGAGAGCACATCAGCACTGGCACAGGTATGCTCGACGTGAGGCATGGTGATGTTGGTATCGCACTTGATCCGTTCACACTCGAGTGAGCCAAAGGTGTTGACATTGCCCTGCAAGTCACAGGAGAAGTGCATGGCCGACGACCCGCCCATTGGAAGAAAGCCTGCTGCACAGGTTTGTTGGCACGACTGCCCAGCAACCAGATTCGTGCAGTTGCTGTCCATCCCGGCCGTTGAGCTGATGTTTCGGCACGCAAGAGGTCTGCAATCGGGGAGGGTTCCTGTCAGCTCCAAAGTAAAGTAGGGCCGCTAAGCTCACATCTCCAGACCTCGCCCCCATCACCGTTGAGCACATAGCCTGCCGCGCACAAAACGCTGCAGCGCTGATCGAAGGTGACCCCCTCGCAGTCGTGTGCCAGCGAAGGGTCCTGCAGCTGAGGGTTCTGTGGGCATTGCGCCGGCTCACAGAGTGGAAAGGTGTCAACGAAGAAACTGCTTTCATCGCATGTCATCCGAGTGGAGTTGGGTCCATAGCCAGGCTTGCAGGTCACGTTGCACTGCATGCCCGTCGTGAGGTTGTTGCAAGCCTCGCTATTAAGAGAGCCAACCGAAGGTATGGCATCGCATGGCTGTCCCACGCACTGAGGAAGCTCGCCGGTAATGGCGCCATCTGCACCGCATTCGAACACGGAGACCGCGCCAAGCATCGTCCAGCCCCTTCCGCAGCTGACAGCACAGTTCTGCTCAAAGGTCATATTGAGGCAGTTGTGCACAAACTTCGACTCCAAAGTCAGGTCAGTGCAAGACTTTCGCTGGCAAGAGGGCAAGGTTCCGTTGAACTCACCGGTGGCTTCACACCTGAAGACTTCGGCCTTGGCTTCCGATGCATACTCGAAGCCCACCGCTGTGCACCCAGCTTCGCAGGTACTTCCAGTCGTCAGATTGCTGCAGTTGTGCTCGATGCCGACGGCGCTAGGCTCGTTGTACTTGAACGGAAGTGGTTCACACGACGGGAGGCTGCCACTGAGCGCGCCACTGCTGCATGTGAGAAAAGCCAAATCGCCAGTCAAGGTGTACAGTAGCCGTCGCTGCAGTCGGCAACGCACGTCTGGCTGTGGTTCACGGAGTCACAGGTGTGCATGAATTCCACCGCGTCGAGGCCAAAACTGATGGCGGAAGACTGGTCGCAGGCTGCTGCGAATTGGCGAACATCCTGGAGGCTGACGTTGCCGTCCTCTGTCAAATCGCAGCGGAAGATCATGTGAGCTGCCACGTAGCCTTTGTCCGGCAGGCATCACTTGCGACAAGTCTTTAAGAGAACTTCTCCCTCGCAGTTGGTGCCCATGACATTGGGATCGATGATCGGGTCCTCGCATGGCTTCGCCCACGCCTGTCGATCTGGTCCATTGAGCATGCCGGAGGGGTCGCACCACAATTCGTAACTCTGCATCTCGAAGCCGGCCTCCGCGCTCACGGTGCACCTCTCCCATGTCGTCAAACTGGAGCAATTGTGCTGAACACCACGCCGCAGGTTGAGTGTCGGGCAAATCTTGGGGATGCACTCCAACGTGGTCGAGTTCTCGGCGGGAACTCCGTTCTTCATGTCCCAGTATCCGGTTATGGTGTCATTGGTTTGGGACATCACGCCGCATGTCAGCACCACGGGGCTGCCTGTCATCTCGTAGCCCTGGGCGCAAGTCACAGTGCAGACTTCGCCGATACTCCGTTGACGTTCGCAGGAAAAGTGTGAATACCCTCTCCCCGCGTAGCGGGACAGCACTTGCGTGCCGGCCAGAGAATACCCAAGAGAAAGAGCAGAGCAGTTCCTTGCCTGGCAGCGCTGGTCAAGCATGCCGATCAGCCCGGACTCTGCTTGCCCAATGAGCTCGTATCCCGGGGGGCACCGCAAAGTGCAATTTGCGTTGTACGCTACCCCGATGCAATCTTGGAAGTCGACACCAGGAGCCATGAGATCAGTCGGTAGAGGGCAGGTCTTGGGCTCGCACCCTAGGCGCTGAAAGGCGAAATCACTGTGCCACGGCTTGCGGTTGGAACATGTGACAGACGGCGGTCTGCCACCCCCATATGTAGGTAAGCATTTGGCGACACATCTCCGTCCATGCGGGACTTGTGCAGCATCGCAGCCCTCGCCGTCCAAATAAGCGCTGAAATTCTCAAGCAAATTGGCTGCCAGGGACTGCCAATCGCACATCGTCACTTGGCACGTGATGTTGTTCTGGCCATCGGCGGGCGCGAAGGTGCCATCCAGGCCGCACGTGTAGTTCACGGGGTTGCTTATCCAGCCATAAAGGCAACGGACCTCACAAGAGTCGCCGGGGACCATGTTGCTTGTGTCAAAGTCGTAGGAGACACACCGCATCCTGTTAACCGGCTCCAAGCCCAACATCGCCAAAGCCTTCGGCTGGAGCGACCCACCACAAACCGCCTCGGATTGTCGTTTGTCGCCCGGAATCCGCAACTAGCCCACTATCCCCGAAGAAGCCGAACGCGCCACCATTGCATGCGATGATGTGGCCCATGCTTGTCGCGAAGGTGTAGTCCAAGGAGTACTTTAAACCAGGCTGGTAAGTGTTCGTCGAGCCTACACTGAGACCGCATTTGTCTGTCTCCAATCCGATGCTCCAGATGCCCATGTGCCCGAACCCGGTGCCGGGCGTGTAGCCGCCTAAGCAATTGAAGTCGCACGGCAGGTTGAAGGGATATGCTTGTGCCCTGAGCAGCAAGCAGAAGATCAACCCGGGGTTCAGCTTCCACGGAGCCATGGCTGCACAGGTGCGGCTCGAAAATTTTAGAAAGCACCGTACACGGGCCAAAGCTGCGTCTTCGAGCAGGCGCCTCTGTGGTTCTCAAACTTAGACTTCTAGATTCTAGTGATCTCTTCCTGCTATGCAGCTCTTCGTGCTCCGACGTCTGGAATTTCCTGACCCCCCTTCTGAGTGCGAGCACCGACTCAGCCCTGGCGCGCTCTTCGCACCACCGCGCCCCTCGCCGGGATAAAGCTCGGCCAAGAAGGCCTGCAACCATTTAAGGGCGAAGGGGCGAAGTTTGAAGTCCCCCCCTTTTTTAGGGGGCGTTCTCGTCGTGATGCTAAGGACCTGTGTGGTTTCGATCTCCCGCACGCCTTGCAAGACCGGAGGACACCAAGGCCTTCGGATCGCCAGGCTGTTTCAAAAGCCACCTCAGGTGTCCATAAATCCTAAACCCCTAAATCGTCACTAGCAAGATCTGATGTGCAGCATCCGGGAGAGCCACACTGACATTCAATCCCTTCGAGAAGCCTGCGTGCAACACCGGCGGGATGCTGCCGAGAAGCTGTCCAGGCCTGCACAGGCCAAGGGGATGACATACTCAGGCTCCAAGACTTCAACTACTAGGCAAAGTCTCGCACCCTTGCCTCCCAACTTTGCATGCTCGGTGCTCCCACATGAGCTTTGGCAGTCGCACGGAGCAAAGAGGCCGCAGAGGGGCAGCCTCATGGGTGCTACCAGAACCCAGAACACTTCGCGATTGCGCTTCAGCCCTTACTCTTCAGCCTTAAACCCGAAACCCTCACCCCATCAGTTTTCCCGATGTTGCTCTCGAGCTGTCAGGCTCACTCGCTCTCTTCTTCCTAACCTTAGCCTCGTGGTCCGAGTCTTTGGCAGCCACAAGTATCTTCTGGTCTTCACAGGCCAGTGGTTGAGACACTGTTGCGCGGTTATTGCTTCCAGCCCTCCGCCCGGCCTAGAAGGCGCACCAGAAACTGCACCACAGGTGGTGGGCCGGCTGCTGGCGGCTTGCCTACTCTGAGTTTGCAGTTGCAGTGGTTGTAGCTGTGACAGTAGCAACAGTAGCAGCAGCAGCAAGTAACAGCAGCAAAAGGAACGGGAGCAGCGGCAGCAGGAGTAGTGGCAGTGGCGGCAGTGGCAGCGGCAAGTGGTGGTGGTGGCGGCAGAAATGTAGTAGTAGTAGTAGTAGTAGTAGTAGTAGTAGTAGTAGTAGTAGTAGTAGTAGTAGTAGTAGTAGTAGTAGTCGTAGTAGTAGTAGTAGTAGTCGTCGTAGTCGTAGTCGTAGTAGTAGTAGTAGTAGCAGTAGTAGCAGTAGTAGTAGTAGTCGTCGTAGTAGTAGTAGTAGTAGCAGCAGTAGCGGTAGCAGTGGTAGTAGTCGTAGTAGTAGTAGTAGTAGCAGCAGTAGCAGCAGCAGCAGCAGTAGCAGTAGTAGTAGTAGTCGTCGTCGTAGTCGTCGTGGTGGTACTAGTACTGGTACTACGTAGTACTATAGTACTAGCACTAGTACTGTACCAGTAGTTAGTCGCAGGGCCAGCACCGGCAACGGCCGCCATGGCAGCAGCAGCTGTCGTCATCGAAGCAGGATCAGAAAACTTGCATAGAGGGCTTTTATAAAAACCCTCTATCACAAAACTTGCAGCCCATCCGAGTCGCTGGTATGATGTGCAGGCCGGCATAATGCCCGCATGCAAAGGGCAAGCTGCACATACCTCCAACTCGGAATCGCAAGGTGCCTTCTGGGACTGGGAGCCTTGGGCCCTTGGGAGCACAAGAGCGGCATGGACTCAGCTTTGCCGACGTCGAATGGCGGGCTGCAAGCCATGAAGATGACGAGCCTCACCATGGCCACGACTTTTCGACTCTACGCTCCCAGGGGGCACGGCATGCATGTGGCTGCAGTCGAAGCTTCCAGACATACTGCAAGAGCTCCCACGGGAGGGTGCGTGGAATCGGGTCGGTGCAGCTGGAATCGAAGACGAAGCTCCGGAAGCCTGCTCACTTCTACTGGGACTACTACTATTACTGTTACGGTTACTACTGTTGTTACTATTACTATTACCATGTCTTCTGCACACGGTCTCCAAAGACAACGAGCTTTCGCAGGGTCTCAGTCAGGCCTGCGCCGAAGTCCAGCAGCTGACGCCAATGTCCCACGTCCAGAGGCAGCAGCGCTCGAAGGATGGCAGCAAAGCGGTTTCGGAGGTAGGTCTCGTGGAACCTACCCATCGGCCCCATAGTAGTTCCTGTTTGGGATTACCTTGTAGGATTCTATATGCGAATCCCAAAAAGGAACTATTTTGGGGCCGTTGGGTACAGTACCAAAACAGCAGGACTGCTCACTGCAAGCCCCGCAAGGCCCGCAAGTGAGGCGGGGATGATCAAGTACGAGCTGCTGCCGCATGGCCGGCTGCCAGAACTCCGAGAAGCCTCATTTGCCACGCTGTACGAGTAATGCTGCACCGGACTCTCAAATCGCCGGGTGTGGGACCGAGCCGAGGCCTTTCCGCTGAAGGCGGGGATGCCTTCCAGAAAGCTTGAAAAGGCCCTACCGCAACGCTTGCATTGAGACCTCCTGGCTGCCTGGCTAGGTTCCGAGACCTCTGTGGCTTGCCGTGAAGGTGACGCCGACTGATCCTCCACAAATGCGGCTGCGATGCTGCGATGAGTACGGCTGCGGGAGAGGAGAAGGGAAAAAACGCCTCCGTCTCAACCTCTGTCGGCCGTGGCCTCTGCTCCTGGCAGAAGCTCGCGCAGGCACGAAGTCTGCACAGCTGTGGGCATAGGCTGAAAGCTGGCGCGCCGAGTTGGCGAGCGGAAGGCGAGGCTCGTGCTCGCCCTCCTCGCCCTGGTCGCCGTGCTCGCGCCTGCATGGAAAATATTCTACGAGTCTACGAGCAGGTGCAGCAGTCTCCGGCCTGTCTTTGGCTTGTGGCTTCGAGGATTCCGCCCAGGCCGGCGCCAGGAAGGCAACCACCGGGGGAGGCACAGCACTGGGCTGAAACGCGACATAGCGGATCATCCATCACAGGATGTGGCGCATCTCAAATCCCTTCATGCTCTGGCACATCTGGGAGAGCATTCTTTGCCGGTCTGAAGTCTGGAAAGACGACTTTTTGTCAGGCAGAGCCTGCAGCCTGCGGAGTCTAGAGTGCCTGCAACGAGACTTGTCTATTGCGAAGCGAAGATTGCAAAAGACAGCTGCTGCGAGATGCAAGAGTCCAGCAGGTGAAAAGTCATGCCCAACACTTGTTCTTTTCTGGCCGCTTCTTGATCTTCTTGCCGCGGTACATCTTGTCGACTTGTCGGATGCCCTGCGGTGCCACTGCGCCATGGCGCGGTGCACCCCGCCATGGCACAGAAAGCGCTTCTCCTCCATGTTGAAGCGGTCTGACGACCGTGGCTTGATGGGCGTGGCAAGTGAGCACCAGACCAGAAAATCAATGGTTGGGGACGGTCTCAGTTCAGATGTCCACCAGCACGTAGCATTCGTAGGGGAAGCCAGGCTTCATCGTACCCCCATCAAGCGGGCAATCGACCTGAGAGCAAACTGCATTACTGTTGCAGAAGACTGGTGGATGGTGGAGCTTATGACTTTCTTAGACCAGTCGGGTCGCTCGAGGCCGAGTGCCTGCCTCGGTGCTGACCTCGGTGGGCGTCAACACCTTCATCTGGTGCATAGTAATCGCCTCAAGGGAGAGCAGTCTGCCAGTGCCGTCGAAGCACCATGGCACTGAGCTTCACTTTGATCTGGGCCTGCCTTGATCTCTGTCCCCTGCGGATGCTTCTTGAGGTTGAATTTCCTGATCAGCTTTTGAATTTTGCTAGTGTCCATCTAGGTCTATCTACTGTCCGTCTTATTTCCATCTCATTCGGGGTGGGCTCCGAGTGTTCTCTTTCCTCAGCTGTTATCTCTTGAAAACCGGGCTGGTTTCGGACTAACTTAAACTCTGGTCCGGGAGTTTGGGGAGTTTGTGGTTCGTTTCACTCTCGTCTCGTCCTCATTTTCACAGCTCACACCGGTCGTGCCTTTTTTGTTGAAGGTCTTGCTTACACAACATCGGCTTTTAGAGGTACAAAAGAAGTCCGATGTGCGGACAGGTCCGGAATCGCTCAAGATCGTACGGTGCTGCCACGAGCGGCTCCCCATGACCTCTAGCCTTCGCTCGCAAGCTCGCCGTGTCGAGCTCCAGTAGCTCTATTCGCCGGCAGACCACCAGTTCGGTGCTGAAGCTGAAGAGGAACCTTGCGGCTGGCTACACAATACTTGCTCTGCCCGTATCCTGTCCTCTTGCTGATCCGTCAGCTCGGGCGATCTGGTCGACGGGGCCAAAAGCTGTGCCCTTTCTTCAAGGACTCAAAAGCACAAGAGAACGCTCCCTGAGCTTCGCTTCTCTAGAGGTATTGAGGGTCACCGTGTGGTCGTATGCCCAGACGTCTTGCTACCCCACGGGGGCCCTCGACCAACTATCAGCAAGCTGTTTTGGCGGATCTGCAAGCTTGAGCCTTTTGACACGAAAGACCGACACCGGGCACCATGCAGCAAGCAAAAACCCGGTCACACCAGGACCCCGATTTCTACGTTTAGCATTTCTCAAACGGAGGGCAGCAACATGAAGGAACCCCGAGCCAAGGGGCTCGTCTAAGAGGTGGTACAAGAGATCCGTCATGTCGTGCCCGGACGCCTCGACTTCCACAGATGTCGAGAGGCTCACGGTGTCGAGATCTGTCAGATATGCAAAGAAGGCAACCTGAGATGGCTCCGACGCCCGTCTGATCACTGAGCAACTACACCCTCAAGTTCAAGTTTTATCTCCTAGAACCTTTGCTTCGACATAGGTCCATCCTAGACTTCCTGGTTTGTCCAGAGCTTGTGCGAAGAAGCACAGAGTTTCGAGCAAGAGAGACAGCCCCGATCACAGAAACGATCTGGCTTGCCTGACTGTAGTGATGCCTATTGACCGCCGGGAAGCACAGCATTGCGCAAAGGCTTCTTCCAGTGTCTGACCCCAAGAGTGGAGAATCACATCCGCCGTGTGATCCTAGGGCTCTGTGGCTATAACAGGCCTGTCAAAAATAGATACACGCGGAAGGACTCAAGCCCATAGACTGCTTTCCATCCAAGCGTCCAAATACTCGAACTGCCGCCTCTCTTCTTCAAAGTCCAGGGCCACGTCTGCATCCGCTGCGCTTGGATGTGGATCCTGAACATTTGACGACTCCTCCTCTGCAGCGATCTGCAGCACCGCAGCCTTGCTCGCCTGGACGGCATGCAAAGCACAAGAAGAAAAGGATTCGCAGTGAACCCGTGCCTTTTCCTCATCGCGCGCCGTCTCTGGCGCCTTGCGCCGACGCCGGTGCCTAGCGGGCAGCGACTTCATCACCAGGCCTTCCACCTGGCATGAGCTGGATCAGGGGGTCGGGGTTGGCTTCTGCACAGAGGAGGCAGTATCGCAAGAGCTGCCTCCACGGTGCTCACCTCCTCTGAAGGCAGCGGAAGCAAGCCATAGAACCTCCCGTGAAACGATTGACGAACTGGCCAGAGGTATTGAGTTGCACGCCAAAGAACAGCCTCTCCAGCCTTGCCTCATGAGCTCTTCCGCCTCCGCTCTGGAAGCGGTCACATCTTCTGGGACACCACAAAGCGTCAGCCTTCGATGATACAGTCACAAACGCACGAAGAAGAAGTGATGCCCACTGCAATGGCATGCCATTAAGACCCCGTGCACGCTCCCACAAGAAGTTGGAGAAATCTGGGCAGCACCCTACGGAGCCGCCTTGCAGAGGCTGTGGTGGCTTCTGGGCAGTGCAGCTCCACCTGATCTCGAAGGCTCTCTACTCCACGATGGCCTTTTCATGGCCCCCCAAAAAAATCATCACGCCTTCCTGCATCTTCAAAGGGAATAGCCCAGAGTGTAAACGTAAAGGAAGGAGGTCAGACTCCAAGCCACCCGCAACTCGTGGTGCCCCGCGAAGGTTTGCAGATCGTCATCCAGTGAGGCACGCATGTCTGGGGCCAAGTCCTCTTCGCGGGCACATGGCGGGGCTCTGTTCCGGAAGCTGTTACAGATTATAGACGGAAGCTATATAGACCCTTGAATATGATGGCATATTATGATGAATACCAATTCTATGACATATATAAACAAACTTGAATAGTAACCGCAGGAGATGAAAAAATGGAATCAGCTCTTTGAACGAACCCCAAAAGGGCCGCTCCCGGATCTGTGTGGCCGGGCACAGGCGGAGATTCAGCACGCTGCCATGCTCCATTAGCTCTTCCGGCTCCTCCCACCATAGGGTTTCGGCGCTCACACTCGGACAATCCAGGCGAGGCATGTGGTTCGGAGTCTGACGAGTGAGACTTCACTAAGAGGAATCGTCACCATAGGGTTTAGGGTAGTTGGGCTACAGGGCAAAAGAGGTCAGGGTGAAGGGTTTCTGGCTTTGGGGGTGACATGGATACCAGTCTGTGAACCCGGGGTCTACATTGATGATCAGAACTGCACTCTGCAACAAGTACTCTGTCCAGAGCAACGGATGCAACAACTGTCCTGCCCATTGGATTTAGAACAGATCGGATAGTTATAGATCAGAGACGACAGGATGTCCTGCATGTCCGGTGGGGCATCCTCCATGTCTTCGTCTGCTTCGTTGCAAGGGCACTCACCTGACCGAGTCGGCCGGTACATTCTGCCACACGGTGCTCCCCTATGGGCCTTCAGAAGGAGAAAGTGTAGTCTACGGCATATTAAGTGCTGTGCTATAGTACGGTATGCTGCAGTTTACACTCAATTCCCACATCGCCTCACTTTCGTCCATGCTTTGTGATACCGACGCCGAAAGGACTCCTAATGCGGAGCCCGACAGCGCCTTGAGAGTCTCTCTCCACGGTTGCTCGCCGCAACTCCTGGCCCGGTGGCTCGGAGCTCTTCGTGCCCGAGAGTTTTTTTAAGTGCAATGACTCTTTCTCCACTTCGCCGAAGCAAAGAGGGTGCAGGGTTTAGGGTATATTGCAACCACTTGTTGAACCCTCGGCTCCTCACAATCTACGAGGACGAGCTCTGCTCCATCCTCAAAGTTGGAGCCAAAGGCATCTTCCAAAGCGTCATCGGAGAGGCGAAGCCTCGGCCCGCTGTGACCGCAGCATCTATTTCTGCAAAAGAGATTACCACCGGTGCATATTTCAGAATTCGTCCCGCAACACTCGTCCCTTCGGTCTCAGAAACAGCTCCCCCAATCTGCCAAGTCACAGCTGCACGCCAGCGATGGAGATGATGATGGCTCCAGCCTTGAGGAACTCATCCTGCGGGGGCTCGCCATCCAGGGCCTCCACGAGATAGCCTCGTTGTCAAGAAAGTCTCCCCGCGCTTGCTTCTTCTAGTCCCGGTTCTGCTTCCTGACACACTATGTACTTTCGGCCACCTTTGCACATGATGTATTGACAGGAAGGCATCAACCAAGCAATGCTCCGTGGCCGGGGCTGTTGTCGCACCTCGCGCCGAGGTTCGCGATGACAGTTGGCTCAGTTGGCTGTCCCTTGAAGATGGGCTGCAGTCTACGAAAAGTCTGCCACTGGCTGACAGCCGAGGCATAGCCGAATATGAACTCGCTGCTCCTATATTTCTTGGCTTCTATTCCGATCTCAGGCCGAGTCGGAGGTTACAAGATGCCCCCGTTTTTGCCTCCCTCCAGGCTAGGCAAAAATGCCTCAAAATGCCCCGTAAGAACTAGCTAGCTAGCTAGCCCTCTGGCCCTCTGCAGGTAGCCAGGTCGCCCAGCTCTGTGGTCTCCAGGTGGAGCCCGGCGCCGCCTGCGCCGACGCGAAGGGCACAGCGACGGAGAGACCGCCAGGATCCTCGGGCGGTGAAGTAGTCTGTTTAGGGTTTACTTACCTTTGGATAGTAGGGAATGGAAGAATGGTAGTGATAGTAGTTATCATTGTACCCCATTATTCCATTCCCTACTAACCATGGGTAAGTTTAGGGTTACTGATGACCAGGAAGATTCAGAAGATGAAGAAGAGGCGCAATACTAACAACAGGAGCCATGATGATCATCTTCCTTAACGCCGCAAGCCGAAGGACATTAGTAACCTCCACAACGACCAAGGTTCATCGGACCCTAACTAGATTTAGACAAAACCTACAGCTACAGCTACGAAGCTGCAAGCGACGGCGAATCTGGCTGGGAGCCGGGCTGCCCGGGTAAGATTCCTCCAGCCAGGGAGGTGCTTCCATGGCCGCCACAAGGTTTCGGCTGTCTGTCTCTATATACTATATATACTATATATATATACATATATGCATATACACAATTATACACATATATGTGGGTGTGTGTGTGTGTCTATGTCTAAAGCAAATATCTAAATGGCTGAATATCTGAATGGTTGAAGCTTGTCTCGGAGGCTCCTGTTTGCAGAAGCTAGCTCAAGCCAGATGGCTGTGGCTGCGGTCTTGGCACAACCTCGACTCCACTGGTGTCTCAAACGACGGCCTGCTCAAGCTCGAGCTTTCGAAAGCAGGTTGATCGCGACCTGAAGACTTCGCAAACCATGTGTCAATGCGTCAGATCACGGCTGTCAGATCCTTCGGAGATGCTTTTGGCATCGTCACTCTGCGGTGGCTGGACTCCTACTGCGCAAGCTTTGGCGGCACGAGGAGGTCGTCGTTAGCGAAAGCGGCCAAAACATAAGCAATCAAGTTGGCCATTGCTGGAAGCGTGGCGGCAACCTTGGTTGCAGCATCCACTTTTTGACTTCCCGCCAGATGCCTCGTTTCAGGGCCGAGTCTCTTAGGGCGAAGAATTCCCGGAGTTGAGGATGCCCGGAGATCGCTCAATGGGCTGCCTGTTTCCGGGGAGGGTCCTGCCACAGCCACTGCACTCTGCAGCAGCACTACATAAAGCTAACGGCTAACGGGCTCAAAGCTCCTGTGCCATTGCTTGGTGCTGGCTCCCGAGAAAGCGTTGGCTCAGCGAAGAGCGTGCCTGCTGTGGCTGGGCTTCAGGGACATCCTGGTCCGCGTGATTGCGAGCGTGTGCGCGCGTGCGCCCGTTGCATTGAATGCACGGCTGCTACACTGCGTCAACGCCACACCTCACCTGAACGCCCATTTGCTGATTAAGACGGAGAGGCTCAGGATTGGGAGAATCAAGCAGTGCGTGAAAATCTGTCTCTCTATCTCCGTCCGCATCAAAGGCACCAGACCAGAGACCCATCGCGACCTTCCTCAAATCCGAAGCGATCATCCCACTCTGAGGCACCGAACCTGTGAGCCCAGGGCGCCAGGTTGTGGGCTCCTCCTTGCTGGGATCTCGAGCGACCTCTTTGCTGGGCTCTTTGAAGCCCGTGGCTTCCAGCAAAGCGTGCTCCTGAAAGGATCTCAAGAGTTCTCAAGCGCAGGGGCTGCAAGGTGCGGAGTCATCCCGTCCTTCCGTAGCAGCTTGGAGCGCATCTCGACCATCTCGCACTGCAGGTCCCGGAGGGATGTCTCGGCGTCCTCGAGTATATGTCTTTGCTTCTCTGCCGTGCTTAAAGAAGGCAGCGGTCCTGTCTCTTCTGGAGCTCCAGCTGCATGGCTCCCATGAGCTCGAGATGAAGACCCTTGTCATTCTGGCTCGCAAGAACTCCGTTGAACTGCTTCTCCAGGGCACCTCCAACAGTCAAAGGAACTGGGAGACAGCAGGAATCATCAGGAATCCACATAACATTGGCCCACACCCTGGGCTGCAGGCATGTGATTGATGGCTAGTTCAAACTCAAACGTGGCAGAGATCTGACAAGCGCCTCCCACTGCATCGATCTTTGCCTCGAGATCTTGCCGCGTCTTCTGCAGGAGAGACTCCAGCCGCTGTGTTGATTCCTAGCTGCGGCTGCTGTTGGCGGACAGGGACTCTACGTGGCGGCACCAACCCGGAACGGGTTCTAAACCCTTTTCGAAGCGAGGCTCCATGATGCTCCATGTCTACGACTCTGCCATCAGCAAGCCTCTAAACTCCAAACCCCTAGGCAACCCTTTGTAGGACCCATTTGCGAGCCTCTCGAATTCGCACCTCCGAGGCCACACCCTCTGCACAGGCATCGACACGGAGGCGGAGACCATCGAGCCAAGCCTCCACTGCAACCATGGACCGGCTACCGTTGGGACCATGGCTGGATGGGTGGATGGATGAGCAGGTAGGGTGGGTGCATATGTAATGTAGCCTTTTGCAGCCTGCTTTCCCTGTTTTGGAAACTTGTCTCAAACTCCTCAGCAGAATCCGGACGCTCGATGTCCTGGCCTGCTCCTGCATGGCGGAGGTCTCTTTGATACTTCGCCGGGTTGCCTGGGCCCAAGATCAGACGCGGGGTAGCCGCAAGCAGACTGTGGCCCCAGCCTCCCAGCCGACCTTGAGGCTCTCAACCTCGACTAGGATAGGGGGAGTTTCCGAAAATTACTTCCTATTTTGGGTCCTTATCATAAGGCTAAGGATCTTACTGTTTCGGGTACTATATTTCGGTCCCCTATTTTCGGAAGCTCCCAAATGATGTTAACTGCATGCGCAAATTCCAAGAACTTCGCTTGATGCCACGCGGCCGTGGCTGAGAGGGACTGGTATCGTTGCTCCCAGTGCTCGGAGATCGTGGACTGCGTCCGTGCCTCTGCGCTTCTCCCTAAGCCCTAAGGGACTCATTTCAGGGCTCCAATCTTCCGGGTGCCTCCTTTGCGCCCTCAAGCTTGAGCTGGCTGACCTGTGACGTCACAAGACGAGGATGGCCTGGGGCCTGTGCAGCGACCTATTCTGTGCAGGGTTCAGATAGAGAGATATTGGGGGAGAGCGTGGTTCACGGGCCAATACGACTTGATAGCCTCCTACCCCTCCGAACCTGGTTAGACATCTCGGTCCGCAAGCCGGCAAGCTCCCGCTTCAACTCGGTCTGCATCTGGCACAGGTCCTCCAAACCTCGACGAACAGCGGATGTCGTGCTTCTTTGCATTAAATCATGCGGAAGGGATGACTCGCAGAAGAGACACGGTTTGTGCTGGCGGCTGAAACTCTCGCCGCAGCCAGTCTTGCCTGTGGCCATCTGAGGGTCAATTTTCACGAGTCTAGCGGCCAGGAGCTCGTCCACTTCTCGCTGCATTGGGTTGAGTGGACTCGCCGCTTTGAGTGCATAGAAATAACATCCACGGGAAAGACCCAGGAAGCGCTGGGAAAAGCAAATCTGGCGGGCTCTTATCTCAAGTTCCAAACCCTTCGATGCCAACATGGCTCGCTACTGCGCAATGCGACCTGACTTCTGTGTCGGTGTCGATCTTCGTGATTGCAAAATTCACTGTTATCAGTTATCCGCTCGTTTTGCCAACCTTCATCAAAAGTCTGACATACATAGGACAGTGTCCGTGGCAGACGGATGTCCGAGAAACAACCCATGTTTGTGCACATGCATGTGCGGACGGGTTACATACACACACACACACATGTGTGTGTGTATAGATAGATGTGTGTATATATACACACAAAAAACACACGCGTGTGTGCCCGCGCGCGAACTGTACGTATGCTGACGTGCGCACTCAGGGATGCATGTATGCATGCATGCAGGCATGTGTTTCTACATGCGTGTATGGCGATGGCCATACATACATACTTACTTATTCCTTGTTTACAAACATGTTCACATCTATGCACCCATCTATCCAGCAATCCCTCTATGCACCGATACAAATGCACTTGCACGTGCACATACCTATGCACATGCACATATGCACCTCCGTAGTTTGATACACATATGAACACGTACACATCATGTACACATACACTTTTTCGTTGGAAACGTATTGACATACGGATATATATGAATCACTGAATATCTGTATTTATATCTGTATGTAAAAATACATTTACATATATACATACATACATTCTTAGCACTCGCTCTCGGCAAAGCAGGCGAGGTGTACATACATACATACATACATACATACATACGTACATATATACATACATATGTGTATAAATACATATATATATATATATATATATATGCTACCCCGCCCCCTAAGACCCGCAAGAAGTAGTAAAAGATCCTGATAATTCACTCCAGCATTCCTACATGTGCTATCCACGCGTGTGCAAAATACGGTGTAGACAAGATAATCTAGTGAAGTATTGCTGTTATCTGCTTAATAACTAGATTTATAAATATTCTTATACAAATGTTTGAACAATTTGATGCAGCATTGCTGCAAATAATGTTAGGAAATTACGCAAAACACAATATAAGCAAGATAATCTAGTGAAGTATTGTTTTGTTGTCTGCCTTGGAGCAAGAAATGTAAATATTCTTATAAAATTTTAGACAATTTGATACAGTACTAGCACAATTACTATTAGGAATTACGCATAACACAATATCTAAGATAATCTATCGAAGTATTAACACCGCATCATACATGTATTTGTTTGATATAATTCTGCTCATAGCAGGTGGGAGCCCACCTTCCCAACTTCTCCACCAAAAATTAAATATTGTTTTCCGTGCTGGCCAATATTTCAGACCAAGAGCCACTATATTCAATTTTCCCTTCCTCACTGCCATATTATAAGGACTCATTGCTTCGTTGGAAGTTCCGCAAAACGTATTTCCTCAATTATTGTTTGTATGAGCCAGCCAAACAGGAACAGATAGCCAAACAAACTCCGGAGAAAACATCGAGAAGGAAAAGGAGTGTTTCTAATTGGCACACAGACAGACAAATCTCAATTTCCATCGTAAGCCCTAAGCCCTAAAGACCCTAGACCCTAAACCCTGAACCCTAAGCCCTAAGCCCTAGTCCCGAAGCCCTGGGAGTAGGTTCCAGGTCCCCTTGAACGAATCTAGCTGTTGATTAAATGGCTCATTGCACAATCTGACATGATTTGGATGAGAAGCCTGCTGTCTTCTAGAACCATTGACAAGCTAATTTCCCTACATCGGCTTAATCCTTTCCCGTTGTAAGAAGTCACCCCTGAGAATTGATATTAGTATTTTTTTGCCACCCGCCCAGCTGAAACTAGTCGCACCGCAGGGAACTCGTCAGAACTCGAAGACTTGAAGAGAGGGGCCCCAGGGAGAATACGTGTGCCACTTCGAAAGGCCCAGGAGCAAATGACAACCGTAAGAAAAAGGGCACACGTATCGTCGCCGAGCCTCAGAAACCTAGCGCTCACCAAGAAAGCAAGCCACACTAGCCCCAACAACCCCCAACGGTACCCGGAGCGGCTTGCAGGATCTTGGAGAGGGCGTAGCTGTGTACACAACTGAGGTATCACCGTAGTAGTCAAATGCTCATGCAATAGCGGGACTGCGAACGTAGCGCCTAGCAATAAAAAAAGGAAAACCAAGTAAGGAACAACAAAGTGCGATGCAATCACTGTGAACAGTTCGCATGCGATGCCCAATTACTAATTACAGACGGCAATTCAAAAGCCAATGAAGATGCGCGACTTGACTATTGGGTAGGACACGGCCAAACACAAGCAAACTACAGGGAACATGTGTCAAAGCGTCAAGTCAGATCTACCATCTGCATACGGGTCTGTACATCGCTCACTCGTTCACTGTTGTTCACTCGTCCACTTTCGTCGAGGAGGCCAGGTGGGTGGTTAAGCCACCGGACTCGACAGCAGGATCACTCGGCCTCTTGGACGTCGAATTCGGCTCAGCAGTGCTGGAAACCAGTGGGGAATCCCATCTCTGAGCAGCCAAAAGAAGCGCCACTTTTATCGGCCATCCTGAGCATGTCAAGGCCACCTGTATTCGGGAGGCGAGTGTACATACAGTGTCAAGACATGACAACGACAGCAAGCCATCTGAAGCACACTGCAAGCGAGGGGAAGGTCATGTCCGCTCGCCTGCGAGAGTATCAGCATCCACTATTGTTTGCCAGAGTCATCCACTAGCTTGCGCGAGGGAGATCAGCATCACCACTTTGCGAGTTTGAAGCCCGCAGGGGTGATGTCGTTTGCACCAGCAGAGTCAGCATGGCCCCCGATTGTGCGCAGAAAATTCACAGCCATCAGAATATTTCAAGACTGTAGCTTGCCAATTGCAGGAGCGTAGGCAAGGCAATGCCAGAAGGCTCCAAACGAAAAGTTCTCATGCCCATGGGAGCGAGGTATGGCCATGTAATCGGCTCTCGCTGTTGTCTGCTGTAGACCCAGGTGTCTGGGAAGTGCCGTGTCAGCAATGTCTAACCAGCATAGTTTATCTCTTTGATCAGACGAAAGCCAGCGGTATCTTCGCAGCAGCTCCATTCAGAGACGATTCCATGGCGGCACCGGTGTACTTGGGGTGCGCTGCAAGGGAGGCGCATCCATTGCAACATCGGCTAACTGACCGAGTACAGATGAATGATTGTGAAGAAGAGGGGAGTCAATGAGGGGAGTGAAAGGAGAAGGAGGAGGAGTGGAGAGGGTGCCAGCTTCTTTTTTTTTTGCTTGCAGGGGAATTATAGCAATTGCGAATTAGTGATTACGAATTAATGAATTACACGAGGGACCTGTGGCGTAACGAGCGTCAACGAACGACGCGAATTAAGGATGTTGCAAGTTGTGTGTAGTAACGAAACGGCGGGGGCTCAATTAAGGCAATTAAAAAAGGGGGCACAGGAGGGATCTTACACCCCTCTCGGAGCCCGGAAGTCCGATCCAGTCAGGGATCACGGGAAGACAATCTCCGGAATAGAGACTTCTTCCTCTTCACCATCGGAGACCTCGAGGACATATTCCTGTGTCGGGTGGGCGAGGTCCTGTGCACTTTCCCTGCAGAAGGCGTCGGGGAGCTTGGTACTCACCATAATAAACTGAAAGTCGGTAACTATTCAGGGCTTGCGGGGAGGCAGGGGGTCGGAAGCCCATCAGCGCTAGGGTAGTGTTGAAGTACAAGTGATTACTGGTGGCAATCTGCGGGGCCCAAGCTGTGAGGATTCTACGTTCTTCTCCGTGCCAGAGTTCGGTACCGTGAAGGAGGGTGCGGGAGCTAAAGAGGCAGGGCTTGTGCAGAATGTTGACAAAGCTACCGAGTCGTACATCCTCGCTTCCAGGTTTCCATCCTTCTACTGTACCTGTAGGGTTCTCGATCCAGACTCTGCCCTTGGTAAAGTGGGAGAGTCCAATGACAAGTGATGGAGCCCATGAATTGCGATCGTCTGTATGGCAGGGTTTACCAGGGCCTAGACGGATGGAGGCCGAAGTAAAAGGGGTTTCCTCGGGTTGAATCGAGCGAATAAAGGCACAGACAGCTTGTGTAAAGCCAGGATGCGAGTCAGTGAGGCGCGTGAGCGCGTTAGCAAGCCGGGTGGTTTGTCCCAAAAGCAAGAACTTGTTTTCACCCTCATCCAAATCCCAGAATTTCTTAGGTACTTCCTCTGAAAGGCGAGCCAGGGCCAAGCAGCGGTCCTCCATGTCCAGGGTGCCGACGTTCATGAGAAAGCTTTCGGAGAGGGCTTCGAGGGACTTGTTGGTGGGAGCAAAATCCACGTCTTCGGGGGTTTCAGGGTCATTGGCTTTGAGCTTCAGTTGCCTTTGTCTTTTACGGGAAAGTGGAGAGTCCGGCTCTCTGTCCCTGGATGTTACAGCTCGGGTGGTGTCCCGAGGGAGCTGTACCTCAGTGGTCGAGCCGGCAGGCTCGTTAGCATCCTGGGAGGTATGGTCTAGGGCGCTTGCTGAAGAGGGATCGGGAGGGGGGAGAGGTGTCGAGTCCTCTTGGGTTTCAGCAAACGGTTCCATGAGCAGGTATGGAGTCAGGAGCTAAAGAGACTGAGCCGGGGCTGCGTTGGGCAGAATGTTCAAGTGATCGGGGGAAAGTAGGTCGGGAGCTAGTTAAGGAAACGAGTTGATTTGGGTCGGCTTTTTTTTTGTTTTGTGTTAATAGGTTGGGGCAAGCATCCGAGGTTAATCGCTCATAAGGAAAGATTCGGGGACTTTCAATGCTCAGACCTACAAGTATGCAGAGGGAAAGTACTGCAGTTGTTTGGGCCTTGGGGGACTCAGGGCTTGACCGGCGGGGCGCACATCCTTCGTTTGTCACAGCGCATGCAGGAGTCAGCCGCCACTGTTATTACGAATTATCAATTACGAAATATGAATTAAGTGGAAGAC